ACGTAGTTACGTAGGTGGTGCGAGTGTAGGTAGGTTGGTTAGTTACTTGTAAGGTACGTTATAGTACCACTGTGCATGCACACAGTGTCTCTCTCTCTCTCTCTCTCTCTCTCTCTCTCTCTCTCTCTGGCACACATGTTGGTTGATTCTTTCTTTCTTTTGTTCGTGACCATGCGAAGAATTTATACATATTAAAGATTTTTGGTTGATGGAAATGGAGCACAAGAAAGCTAGGATGATCTGCTCTTCAGTTTGGCCTAACTCAGCCATCCACCTTCACTATAAAGTAGTGTGTTTTTGTTGGTTTTTACCTACATTGCATACTGAATCATTCTTAATTGTGTTATTTCAATCAGCTACTCAAAAGACAGTGGATGGCCCTTCCATGAAGGATTGGCGAGGAGGGAGAGGAGCTGGGCAAAACATCATTCCAAGTTCCACTGGTGCTGCTAAGGTATTTTTTCTGGTGGAATATCTAAACAAATTTTGGAACTCCTCTGTGAATCATGCAGATGCTCCAGAAACTCTGAACGTCAAAATAGAGCTTTAGCTATTAATGTTTTTTGACAAATATGCACTGTAGTGTTTCAAATACTATGATTAACTTGGTCTGGTATTCCAAATAGTAAATACCAGACCTAGGGTGAAAACGCCATACGACATAGTAAACACCAGTTCAGGCAGCTGTTCAATAACAACAATTTCTAGGGTACACCACTTGCTTTGGAGATTTCGGGCACCTGCATGATATCTGCCAGGTGTTTCAAGCATTGTTTAAATCATAGTTACTCGAATCTCTTACCGAAGATTGCAATTTCGATTCCGAACCCCGATTTGGTGATTCCGAATAGGCTTCATGGAATCTGTTTCTATGAAGTATAGAATCTCGATTCCTTATTTTAGGAATCTTGATTCCAATACTTATAGAATATCGTTCCTATATTTACTGATTATTAATTCCGCAATTGATAAATTTTGATTCTATACTTGTTGAAATTGATTTCCAAATTTACCAGAATTCTACCACTTCCCCAGTTTTTGTTTTTTTTGTTTTTTTTCCTGAGAAATAATGTTTAGAAGTTTTCAAGGCATCAAACTACTCAAGCTAAACACTCAATCCCAAGCTACAAGGTGTGGCAACCAAAGTGGTGGTCCGCGTTCTCTACTTAATTCTTTAAGTATGTATTGTATTTATTCAATGGAGAGATTGCAACTCTAAGTTGTTAGAAATAATGTAATACAAATAATGTAAACGTGCATGTATGGCATATGGGTCAATTAATGGCATTGAGAATGTAATTTTCCCTATTAGTTCCCTCTCGATTCTAAAGATGTTGGAATCTCGATTCCATATCGGTCGATTCCAACTAGGTGGTAAACTTGATTCCAAAATGCTAGGAATCTCGATTCTATGTTGGTTGAATCTCGATTCCTAAAATAGGAATCTCATTCCCCACAATTCTTCTTGTATGGATGTCGATCCCGAAAATAGGAACCTTCCAGCCAGCAGTGATTCCTTGCTTCCGATTCCTAAATCGATTCAGTTTCTAAATTGCTTTGGGTAACTGTGGTTTATACCAGCAGTGAGCCTGCAACTTATTTCATGCCAAGTTTGCAATTTTTTTTTTTTCCTTTTTTGCATTCTTTTTCCTTTTTATGTTTAAACTTCATGTTGGCAAACTGAAAAGCATAGTTTTCCTTAAGCATATCATCCAACTTTATGAATTTACAATCGTTTTCACATAATAATCTAGTTTGAAAAGCTCTGGTCTGTCCATTTCTTAGTTATATTCTTTATTGCTATGATTGATTATTATTGGTTTCTACTGTAGATTTTTGATGCTATGTTACCTCTTATTACTGTGTTTTATTATCTATATATACACCTCTGGGTTTCAGGCAGTGGGAAAAGTTCTTCCTGAACTCAACGGGAAACTAACTGGTATGGCTTTCCGAGTTCCCACCCCCAATGTCTCGGTGGTAGACCTAACATGTCGTTTAGAGAAACCAGCCTCCTATGATGACATAAAAGTCGCAATTAAGTAAGTAATTGATGTCTTTCTGTCAACATTTCCTTGTAAAAAGTTCTAAATCGCAAGTATAATATTCATAGCTTGCATATGGAGAAGCACACAACCACCAAGTTAACCATTCAATTAGATCTCACTGGTCAGGGGAAAGTATAGGGTAATCCCATGACTGTAGAAACAACAGTCCATGGGTTCTCACCAGTCAATGAAATGATGGTAGGTGTTCGAGATAGTGAAGTCTACCATCTCAGTCATTTCTTGTTTTGGCGAACCTACTCTCTCCTGCACCATTTATCGTTATATTGAACGGTGATGACCCCAAAATTACTGTTTCTCCATTATCTTCAGGATTACCACATACTCCCCTGAGATGCCACCTATTGGATGGGTAGCCAATCAAGTGGAATCCTGATGATCCTATTCCATGGCTGTGAACCTGTTTGTCCTTCGTTTTTCTTTTCATGGGTTGTGTACAGGATTATTTGGGTAAGGTAGTATAGTAGAACCTGGGAAATATGACGCTGTTCTTTGGTTATTTGGAGAATGACTAACAGTTGATTATTTTGCTATGAATCAGGGCTGCATCTGAGGGTCCTCTTAGAGGCATCCTTGGCTACACGGATGAGGATGTTGTCTCAAATGACTTTGTTGGTGACTCTAGGTAGGTTGATGGCTTTGTTGCTTCTTGCATCTTCCCTTGTATTCAACTATACTAAAGAGTGACCTGGATAGAGAAAAAAAGGAGGCATACAAAATCAACAAATTGCAACCTGAAAAAAATTCCGAACTATTTTCGCACCACTAAGACCATGTTCACCGAGGTCTGGATTTGACACTACAAAGTTTATTATCCTCTCAAGAATGGAAAAATGAGAGCTACTGTCTAAATCAAATTTGATTGTATCATCTTTTTTTATTATTGGATCTTTTGATTTTTATTGGTGAAACGATCTTAAATGAATATAAAATTTTGAGTATACGTGTGGTTTCCTACTTTTGTTACTTTCTGCAACAAACATGGAATCGACATAAATTACAGTGTGTGTGTGCATGTGTGTGTGTGTGATTGATGAAAAAAGAGCTTTGCAGGACTTTAACGTTGATATGGTTATTTGTTGTTTCTGTTAATAGATCAAGTATTTTTGATGCTAAGGCGGGAATAGGTTTGAGTTCTTCTTTCATTAAACTCATCTCATGGTACGACAATGAGTGGGGTTACAGGTATTCTCCTAAACTTCTGTGTTGTTTTCCTCACACTCCTCAGGCCGTGTATTTCTTGCATTTCTCGGCAATCATTAGTATATATTTGTATTAGATTGCTCGTAGAACCATAATCTAGACCAGAGTTGGAATACTTGGTTGAGTCCACTTGGACTCATCTGAATCACTTGCGCTTGGACAGTAGTATCCAGTCCAGTGTTGGAGTACTCGATTGAGTCCACTTGGACACTTGTGAATCACTCGGGCTCAGACCTGCCGCTGGGCCCAAAATTAATCATACGGGCAGTGTTACCCTGACATTTAGATGGAGCTTGGTGTAGCACGTTGACACTTGCAGACACTAACCTCACACGTGATTATATATGTTGGGTGACATTATCAATTATGAGATTGATGTGGACACTTTAAATATAAGTGTCTTTCTTTTTATATCATAAAATTGTAGGGAACCTAGTAGAGCATGTGTTTATCTTCACCAAGGTTGTGGTTCTTATTCCCACGGCTAGCAATCTTTTTCCTTTTTATTTTTGCCGCAAAGTTTTGATTGTAAAAATGCTTAATAACACTAAGTGCACATAGCAAGAATGGAATCTCCTCCAACTGCCCTTCAGTGCGTCACTTCTACCATCACGCAATTACTAGTTTCATGAAATGAAAAGAAAGATCGAATTATATACTGTTAAAAGTTGACACATGGTCACATCAAGATTCAAACTCCTACTACCTGGAACTTTGCTCCATCTTGTGAACTCTACTACCTCTCCATTTGTAACGTTGTTGTCGTAAATTGTAAAATAATGTTATATATTAATCAAAATATGTTGTTTTATTTATAAAAAATAAATGCAAAGATGTGTCTAGCTGTACTGACTTTTTAGACCTATGCAATAGACTCTTGCAACACTTGTCAACACCAAAACCCATGTCGGTGTCCATGTAACGATGCATCTGGGAGCAGCTTTACTGGTTCTAATGTTATTATTATTATTTTTTATCCTTTTTTTTTTCTTTTTGGGAAGTCTGCTGATGAACTCAACTGAGTCTGCCAATCCTGACTCATTGGACCCTAGTAAATCCTTGTTATCCCACACTGATCTAGAGTAATACCTGGAAATGATTTCACTAGTGTACACATGTTGAGGCTTTAAACACACTCGCTCCCTCGTAGATGCGCATGAGCATGCGCGAGGTGATTTCAATGGTTTTGCGAGTATAATTACAAGTAGACATCTCCAAGCATTTGTTTCTCCTTTCTTTGTGTAGTTCAGCAGCAGGATTTGAACTTAGGACATGGTGTTACAATCATCAATACGTTGGCCTATTAAATCCAAGCCTGAATCCTTGGCTTTGCTCTCTCTCTCTCTCTCTCTGACATTCATGTCATTTTTATGTCAGTAACCGGGTGGTGGACCTGATTGAGCACATGGCACTGGTGGCAGCCCGGAATTGAGACGGGCTTTTACATGTTCCAGTTTTGGTATAGGGAGCTGACGAATCTTAACTCGGCAGTGTCCATGGAAAATGGGAGTTGTGAAATAAAGAAAGTGGTATTTTTTTATTTGTCGTGGAGGGACTGGTTTTTTAGCATCAGTGCCTTGTGTCTCGTGACTCCTTAATGTTTTTATGATGATAAGGCTATTTTGCTAAGAAGCAAGTTCACCATCTTTCAATAAAATTAGTTCTCTCTCTCTCTCTCTCTCTCTCTCTCTCTCTCTCTCTCTCTCTCTCTACTTCAATGGCACTCTAAGTTTGAGCCAAAATAAATACATAGATTAATTTTCAGATTATTTTGTTGTTGATTTTTAGGAAACTGGATTCCCACCAAGAATCACCAAAGAAAGAACTTAAGACATCATCGATATGTTTATTATCTTTTTTTTTTCACATTTTTACAGTACAGTATTAATATAATTTTTCCTTCTCAAAAACAATTGTACATTTTTTCACTGTTACTATCCGGGCATGCCCGCATATGATTTTTTGTAATTGCTTAGATCAAATTTGAGAGGTCATTCAATTTATTGGAACCAATGTGGTGAAATTGATTTTTATCTGACATTAAAAAAATTCAAAAATTCACTTAAATTTCTTAAAAATATAGTTTTTTAAAGTTTCCAAAAATTAATGGTATTTCATTTTAACTTTCATCATTGTAATAAAAATACATAGATATGGAGAACATGTCTCATGTCTGAATATTTGTTACCCATTACATTTATTTTATGGTCAAATAAAGAATTAAAATATAACTCATTACAATAAAAAGTATTATGTTAGGTGTTCAATAATCCCTTTGAAAAATCTGTCAAATAAAGATTTAATCTTGTAAAGTAAATTATTTGTCAAAATCTTAATTTTTGGAAAGCTTGTCCCAAAGTTTTTCAAATAAAGACTTTATGAAAATTAGACAAATAATTCATTATCAAATAAACACTTAACATAATCCCTTTAAAAAATCTATCCCAATGTCTTTTAAAACCAAGCGTTTCATTGCCTGAGTAGACTAAGGTCAGGCCATGGGTTTGTTCCAATTAAAATTGAACTATCTTGGGTTTTTTTTTGTTTCGAAGACTCTTCATCTCATAAAGTAAAAAGTAAGAAGCGGGAGAATTGTTCTACATCAAGCGTGAGGCTCTATAAAACGTTTAAGGCCCATACTTTCATTATGCATGCAGTGTAGTACTTGGGCCCGCTTTACAAATGCATAATATGATATGAGGTTGGCTCCCAAGTCTCTTTTCAAAAAATAATTCAAAAATTCCTCCAAATTGTATCTAAAAAGCGGACACACAAAAAAACTCCCCCCCCCCTTTCCCCCTGCCATCAAATCAGTTCATCAACGAACGGGTTCGTTGTTTCTAATAGATGTCAACAGATAGCCGGCCGGTTCAAGGGGTACCCGACAGGTACCCGATATATAATGGGAACCAAAGCAGTTTCAACGATTCTTAATCCATATCAAATAATTTCAATCCAGATCTTTGAATTTTCAAACCTTGATCTTAACCACCCTTTTTTCGCTACTTCATACATCTTGACGCCTTAAAGATGAAACATGGTGCTTAGAAAAAGAAACAAAAACTGGCCTGCAGCTGCTTATGTCTTATTTTAACCCTCCGTGAATATACAAGGTCATGTTTGTGAATATGTATCAACTCCAAAATCCAGGGTTGAAATACTTGGCTCAATTTGTAGGTCGACATTTCAAGGGTCGACCTCAATGGTGAGTAAAATACAGTGAGTAGAATGAAAAAAACTTTAGTACGGCTTTTGAATGGTTGAACTACTTGAAAAGTTAAAAAAATTAAAAAACCAAAAGACTTGTGGTTTGACCATTCAAGAGTCGACCCACAATATGGAAATCATCAGGTCATAATGGTTGGACTGTTCAAGTGTCGATCTAGCAGCAATTTTATCAAAAAAAATTACAAAAATGGCACTCCACAGTAAAGTTGAACTATTTAGAACCATTCTTTAAAAAGAGTAGAATGGGATGCATATGATAATTTCCCAATATCTTTCCATACATGAATCTATAATCTAGTTAGTCAAAGACATGAAGAATCGGGTTTGAGCTTGAGTAGTTTAGCAGCTGGTGTCCAGAAGATCACAAAATTTGGACCATCCATTTTAGTGGGCATTAAATTCTATCTTTATATACGCACACATACATGGGAGATTATCTGTAAGCTGACAGGATGTGCTAGATTTTTTGTAAGCTGAACGGTAATGGGAGATTTTTCTATAAGCTGATCGGCCAATTGGCTAGATCGAAGAAGAAGAAATGAGATGGATGGCTGATGTAGGGAGATGGGAGAAAGAAAATAAACAAAATAAAAAAATAAAAGTAAATGGTGAAAAAATATACGTCTTTTAACATCTACAAAAGGAGTCCACCCAAAAAAGATCTTTTCACTCTACGTAACCCATAAATAAAAATCACTCGAATAACCTACAATTATCTGGTGCAAAAAAAACAATTCCAATAACCCACAACTATCTGGTGCAGTTCTGTGGGTGATTTCTCCCACAGATAATGGGATATCGATGGTAAAACTGAAGGGAATATCAAGAAAAACAAGCATGAGAAATGTCTCAAAAATAAAGGACTCAAATGGGTTTCAGGTTGTTTTGCAATATGGTTGCACACACATCAAGTGGTGTAGTTTTACATGCCATCAGATTAGGTGTATGAGGTGGGTTGGAGCAAGCATCTCTAGAGAGAGAAAAGAGGAGCTCTCATCTGGTTATGGATGTGAAACCAAGCAAGGCCATGCTTTCTTCCTTGGAACTCCTCAATGAGCTTAAGATAAATGCAGCAAGGTTTGTGCAAAGTATGCCTTTACTTAGGTATTGTTCTCTCTTTCTCCCCCATTGAAAAGGAGGATTTTTTTTTTTTCTTTTTTTTTGGGTAATTTAGTGGGAAAGGCAGGCCCCATCCGTTTTTTCAATAGATTAAGGAGTTATAGTTTTTAAGGTGTTGATTGAGGGTATCAGTAAGAATGGATACCACGATAATGCTACCACCAGGACCCTAGCCCCTTTCCTAGGCACTAGAGGGAGGCTTAGGGGTGAAGGAAGTTGGAATGGGTACTCTCTTCTCTCTATCCAAGAATTTCAATAGATATTGTAAATGGGATAGGCTTTTCAATGGGTGCCGTAAATCGAACCTGTAATTTGCTACATTATTCCTCTCTTCATATTCTATCTTGTTTTCTCTCTTTTCTCTTTATGCCTGGGAAAATTCTAAGATATAGGTGGACAGTTAAACATGTACAGAAAAATGGTTATGCAGAATAATTTATAATTCATATATATGAAAAGCTAGTAATGGCTTTATTCATATTTCTAAATATATGAATATCCAGGTTCTGTTTTGTCAAACAGAGCCTAAAAAACCTTAATCAATATTAAATCTTAACTCTCAGCTTTTCAAAAAACTAGACTTACAATTCTGCCTTTCAATTCTCTACGATATAAAAATACATAAATAGATTAAAAAAAACCATAAACTAAAAATAAATCCAAATTAAAATTAAAAAATAATAAAATTAAAAATTAAAAATTAAAAACCGATCTCATCATGCTCTCATGCTTATGGAATTAGAAAATATCCTTCATTAGATTTTCCACTTCATTCGAACTAGAAATTTTCATCCTTTTCTTATCGAAATTTGATTGTTGGACTTAATCCAACGAAATTGTGATATGTTTGGAAAATCGACCTGCGGTGTCAAAATCTTTTTCAGTTTCCACCATTCCCTACCACTAGATCAACTTCCAAAACATGTTGTGTGGTATGTGACCAAAGCTTGAGTTGATGGTCAGTTTTTTGTTTTCCACCTCTTAATATTCTTACTCTCCATATTACAATCTACTAAGTCGAAATTGTTTGTATTATTCTGCCAAGGTCTTCTGTTATGTCATTTTTTAATGTCTCAAATTTGTTTGATCCATACGCTCTATAACTGGAGCTCGAAATGTTCGTGATAGCATCATGGTCTATGAGCCACAAGACTACAATACCAAGTGATAAAGGGAAAAATGGGAAAGCAACTAAACAAAATAGAAAAACAGAAGGCAACAATAATAGATGAGAGAAAACCCCCTCAAACCTATTTTCTTTTCATGGTTTTCCCTTCTCTTCTGATCTCATATTTTTTTTTTCCTCATATATTTTTTATCTAGTTATATATTAATAGAAGAAAACCCTAAAATCCTAACTTGCACCTAATAAAGCATAATCAATATCAAATCTTAACTCTTCATCTTTAAAAATAAAAAATAAATAACCTTCCAATTCTACATATCAATTCTCTATAATACAAAAAGACACAAATATCCTAAAAGAACAGCAAAACTCAAAATAATTCGAAACTTACACTCAATAAAATAATAATAATAATAATAAAAAGGGTTAAAAACCCGTTACATCAACAACCAAGAATGGTGGATTCATTTTACCCCAAATTTTTTTTTCTAGTTCATTTTTTTTCTGAAGTGGAAAATTAGATTGCGTATGGGGGACTCAAAACCCTTAAAAGACCGCTCGAATGGAGGTCGAAAGGGCTTTATTAGGGTGAAAAGTTCTAATTGCTTCCTGTAGTTCATTTTTTTTTCTTTAGCTCATTTTGAGAGCCTAGAAGAGACCAACGTGTATGAAAAATATGACGTCATTTTTCATAAAACATAATTTATTAACAAGCAAATTTCCTTGTTGATCGCTTTTTTCCTTCTAGGCTATTTAGCATGTAGGTCAACTTATATGATACCATGCACTTGTGCTCCAAATAAGATCTAGGCTTCTATTCTCACCTAACGCATTAAAAAACTACTAACGATTTCAAAAAACAGGTAGAGGTTCGTCATCCCCACTGAATTACTAAAAAAAAAAAAAATCCTATTTGACAGAATTTTTAATCGTTGAATGATTAATTTAAATAAAAAAAACAAAACAAAAATGTTTGGGTTTCTAGTTATTGAACACAAATCTCATCTTCCAAAAAATTGAATGATTTTTGTTCATTCTTGGGATGTTGTTTTTCGAGGTGCATACATTGATTTTGATTTTATTTTTCGTTTTGAGATATCCTCAAAATTCGTCATCCTAAATATACTCTAATATTGAATTTTCCCAAGGGAACAAATAGATAGTATGATACCGTTGAAGCACAAAATAGTGTGGCTT